AATTTTGTTCTTAATAGCCTGATAAAAAGCTTGTTGTCGAGAACTGAGCTTGCAGTGTACTGTAACTTCTGTCTTTGTAGTTAGCTCAGAAACCACATCCTTTTTGACACGCCGGAGCATGAATGGCTTTAATATTGCATGCTGTTTGGGAAAAGAAACAAAATGTGAGTGACTCGATAACTTTAAAAGGTAAAAAGATGCATCCGGTGTGCAAACTTGAAGAATTGGAGAACCAAGAATCGCTAACTGGAATTAACAGAACCTTCTATTGGCAAAGCAAGGGACAGAAAGTTGACTGTCAGAAACAGAAAACAAGAACCAGAAGCTTTCCCGTTCATGACAAATGCATACACATCAGTGTCGTATTTCTAAATTTCTCGAGAGGAATAAAAACGAAAAGGAATAATTTCATGACTCGGAAATCAAAGCGGAACCCTAGTGTGAGAACCTACTCAAGGAGCCTAGCAAACTAAAAATAAGAAGCAGAAAAAACTAATAGAACTTGAGGTGTCACCATACTAATGCTGCAAACAGAAAGTGAAACCTCACCAGTCTGCTAAGCTGGTGCTCATTTAAAGTGCCTCCATGTTCAGCATGATTCTCGATTCTGTTATTCAATATGGATCATGTATTAGAAAGAATTTCCTAGATTGTTCACTATATACTTTTACATGACCATCAAACCAGAGGAATAGTACATACCCTTTTGAGAACCACTCATTAAATTGATCATGGCTGTCAAACAACATTGGCATAATGAAGTGCAGCAGGGCCCATAACTCTGCCATGTTATTCTGAATTGGAGTACCAGTCAGAAGCAATCGGTTCCGACAGTTGAAACTAAGAAGGGTCTTCCATCTTATACTGTCAAAGAAATAGGGAAAATGAAACTTGCATGAGATAACTAAGGAAAAGTAACATTCTCATGCATGGCAACGAAATCGCACAAGAATGACTATCAAGCACAGGGAATTCAACGTACAAAGGGGTAAAAAAGAGTTAAAGAGTGAAATCCTTGCGAGCACAAGCAACCCTGATTCAACTGACTCGAGGGAAAAGTAAGAACCTGGTGGAACTTTTAATTGCTTGGGCCTCATCTAGAACCATATATTGCCACTTCACCCGGCGAAAATACTTTTCATCGGTTACTAATAGCTGATAGCTGGTAATCAAAATATGAAAACCAGCATCCCTGAAAAAGAGAGGGGAGTCAACAGAGAAACTTTAGAAAAGAGCAAAAAAGATTTATTGATAGCGAAGCCTTTGAGAGAATAAGCAGAGCTTGCACGCAAACCATCTAGAGGAACAATAATAAAAAAAACTAACCTAAAAGATATCACATAATCGTTACCTTCGGTACATACGCTTGGGATTGATATTCTTTCTTAAAATCGTCCGCTCTTGTAATCCTCCCCAATATGGAAGAGTTTTCAAGTCAGGACAGAAACGACTAATTTCATCAGCCCAATTGTTAAGAACAGAAGCAGGGGCAACAACCAGAAATGGACCCCAAATGTTTTTTTCCTGTGTGAGAGGATAGATGAGTTTTAACATAGCCAAACCACAACAGACAAAAAGGACCAACAATTCGATTTACCTCAGCCAAATGTGCCAAGAACGCCATAGCTTGAATAGTCTTACCCAAGCCCATTTCATCAGCAAGAATGCCATTCAAACCCTGGAACATATAAAAACTTACCTTAGTATATACCCTATCTGAAAGAGGATTCTTTAGGGGAAGAATTCCCTCTATAAAGTCCAAAAAAAAAAATACAAATAGATGTTGAGCCAACCTGCTCATAACAATTGACGAGCCACTGAAGGCCTTTCATTTGGTATTCTTTAAGGGTTCCTTTAAACAACTCTGGAGTCTGAACTGTCGATGTAACAGGCATTGTAGATCTGAAAGTAGAGAGTTTTAATTGGCTTGATATTCTAAAATCAAGAAGATAAAATGTGGCAATAACAAGAACACAAACTCACGGGTTATGCAAGTCTATATTGCCGGAGCCACAGACTGAGACATCATTTGATGGTCCTTCCACGTCAGAAGTTTGCCGTAGCTTTATATATTCAGTGTCAAATGCATCTGTTATTTTTTTCTGCTTAGACACTGCATCTTGGGCAGCTCTCAGGACCTTTTCCTTCATTTCAGCATCTTCAGGATCCTCGACCTCAGAAGGTCCTGACGCTGAAGGTTCTGGGTGCTCTTCGTCAACCGGATTTTCATCTCCTATCGAGAAGGCTTCAGAAGGCTTTGAATCAGCCTTGTCTCGCATAAAGTGACTGTACAGCTCAGTCTGTTTAATAAGAAAATTGAGCCTCTGTTGCTGCCTTTTTGCCTCTCGGAGCTCTTGTTCACGTTTTAATGCCTCTGCAGCTTCCTTTTCCTGTTTTTTCCTCTCTTCTGCCTGTCAACATGGTCAAATTAATCCAAGCGCACCGTTAAAAGAAATCCATGCAAAAAGCATGTTTGATTAAAAAAAAGATGGCAGCAGAATGTGTAATCAGACCTAGTTGACAGCCTGAAATATGTACTAAAGAGTATTAGGAGAATGGAAAATATACCATCTGCTTGTCAAATCGCTTCCAGAATAGCAGCATGTCTCTGGATATCTTCCTGGTGCGAATTGGTGCACTCTTTGGCAATTTGTATGATCTAGCCACCTTAAATCTCACCTGTGAAACTCAAGGTAACAGCAAATGAGAGATTACTCTATAATGGCATGCAATAAAAATGGCCGCTTAGAAAAGCAAACAAAATTTAAACTAAATGAGTAGGTAAAGCCATCAGATTACCTCTCTTTGGCAACCATCTGCAAACCTCTTGGCATCAATAGATTGTTTTCGATGAAACGTGGTGAAATTCCTATGGTGTTTTGGTATATCTCTCCTAACAATGTTGATCCAGGCTTTTCTAATTTTGTCCCTTTCTGTCTTCTCAATGACTGCAGGATCATTCTTCACCTTCAGCTTCTTTGGTAGACTTCGTCTAACGATCTGAAGAAAGGATACATAAAAGAATGTCAGGAAAATAGATATTGTTGTCGGGCCATGAAGAAAACAAAACTATGAAAATTTCCGTAAAAAATACTGTCACAGGATCCAAACCTCATATGTATCTCCCTTCTCCAGAACCTTCACGTAATGGACCTGAAAAACACCACCGTCTGATAGAATTGTCCGTGCAGTACTTCCAGCAGCTCCTTCTGGAATGACAGAATTCATTGCAGCTTCTGACACCTTCAGGCTGAAGTTTGGGGTGGAATTTGACGCTGACAGGGCCTTCACTCTAGCTTGAAGAGAGTCATATTGAGGTCGTGGGTCACCCATTCCATTACGGCTCCTTGCTCCAGACCTTTTATCGCTAGCCATCAGTTCTGCTAATGATCTCAGATCCAGAGTTCCTTTCAAGTAAAAATCTTCTACATGAATATCAGAAAAGCTTGGTAACTTTAATGATGCCACTAGCTTGTCATAACTTGGGGGGATTTTGTAGATAACACCATCACCGATATCCAAATACGAAGGTTCATATGCTATTCTGCAAATGATGCAAAATACGATGTGTCAATTAGATAACTAAAGGGTTTACACATGGTTACACGTCCTCCATAGAACATGAAAAAACATACTTGGGGGTAATGTCTGAATCACGATGGTTTCCTCGCCTTGGTGGGATCGCATCAGATGCAAAATTTGACGAGGTGTCCATGTCATAGAATCTCCCATGGTGACCGTTCCCTAGTTTCCTACCTCTGTAATTGCCTACATTGCTCTTTGGCACCGGAACACCCATAAGGTGTGTGTGATTCGCTCGAGACTCCTTGGACTTATTTTTGAATTTTTGAATATGCTCCCCAAGCATTGATCGGTAGTGTTCCTCAGTAACATGTTGATTGTAGAGGTCATCATCATCCTCTGCATCATCATCATCATCTTCTGTCCACCGCTTTCTCTTCTTGGTGCTATGATTCATTCCCGGTTTAAGGCCATTGCCGTAGTTTGCCACTACCCGACCTTTGACCATCACCAACGATTTAGACACGGAGGATAAAAGTCACTCTAAGAGTGTAACAGTTGGTGACAAAAGTAGTACCATAAAGCCAAATAAAATTACTACCTTGATTGCTTCTAGTTTCATCTTGGCTACTACTCCCATAATAATCTAACTCATCATCAGGTTTCGGAATTCGGAAGTTCATCAACGGCTGCAAGAGTGAAAACTTAGTCAGAAACAAAAGAAAAATCCAGAGAAACCCCCACTGAATTTTGACAGAAAATTAAAAAAACCCACAATAGGAACATGGAGAAACTATAGAATTGCAAAATTTTCAATTACCAAAACTACATTCATCAGTGTGACATGATCATCCAACATGTACAAATCATCAGAGAACACAGCGTAAAGTTAAAATTTAAAGGAAACCCCAAAACAGTTGAGGCCGTACAGACCTCGAGATCGAATAGATTTGCGTAACGCGAGTCCTTGGGTTGTCTCTTTGAAGGATCCATGAGAGACAGAAGAGAGGACACGGCCTCAAAATTCGGAGAGCCTAACCCTTAAAAGCTGCTAATAGTACGGAAACGTTCGTCACGAAAAAGAGGAAGAGTTCGTCTTGAGGAAGAACCCTAATCCCAGTATGATAGAGAAGAGGAAGAAAGGTAAAAGAAGATATGCGCAAGATAGTGGACTCAGCCGGTAAGGGAAGAAGACGAGACTATTAACATACGCCATTCGAATGAAGCTTCTTACCGTGCGCCCCTCCTCCACAAAAATCATTTAATTTCCTTTTTTTTAAATAATTAATTTGTGCTTCAAAAACCCTCTGATACCGGCCGGTCAGATAACGACGGAGACGATAAAGATCCCTCGGGAAAAAGGGTCATTTTGAAAACAATTAACTTTCGGGGGGTTAAAATTGAATACATAATAAATATATGGGCAAACTTAGAATATTAATAAACTCTCATTCGAGAGAACCCTAATTTCAATATACAAGATTTACCTCATCGTCTCCAAAACTCCATCTCTGCCGTCTTCAGACAGAGCTCGGCGGATAGATTATATATTCCATTGATAAGCGGCAGAGATAGAGAGATTGCGACGATGGCAGAAAGCAAAGAGAACTATGACCTTACCCCTCGAGTGGCACCTAACCTGGACAGACACCTGGTGTTTCCTATACTCGAGTTCCTTCAAGAGCGTCAGCTTTATCCTGATGAGCAGATCCTGAAGTTCAAGATCGAACTTTTGAACAAGACGAACATGGTCGATTACGCCATGGATATCCACAAGAGTCTCTACCACACCGAAGAAGCTCCCCCAGGTAATCATGTGTATAAATGTCTGTGAAATGTTGCGTTTTTATCTGTAGTTGTTTGGGTGTTGAAATTTATGGGAAATTGTGGTGATAGATATGATGGAAAGGAGAGGAGAAGTTGTAGCCAGGCTCAAATCTCTGGAGGAAGCGGCTGCACCACTCGTGACTTTCCTTTTGAACCCCAACGCGGTTCAGGAGCTAAGAGCTGACAAGCAGTACAATCTCCAGATGCTGAAGGAACGTTACCAGGTTTGTGATTTACCTTGTTTTGGTACTGTTTGATTTGCTTAAGGTATCGAGGAACGCAAATCTTATATGCCATTGTTTTATCAGATTGGTCCAGACCAGATTGAGGCTTTGTATCAGTACGCCAAGTTTCAGTTTGAATGTGGGAACTATTCTGGTGCTGCTGATTATCTTTACCAGTACAGGACCCTTTGCTCTAACCTTGAGAGAAGTCTGAGCGCCTTGTGGGGAAAGCTTGCATCTGAAATATTGATGCAAAACTGGGACATTGCACTTGAAGAGCTCAACCGTCTCAAAGAAATTATTGACTCAAAGGTCTGCTTTTCCGAGTGTCATCTTGCTTTTGTAACCTTTGAGATCCCCGTTGATGTGAGTAGATATACTAACTAGCATTTTGTATTTCAGAGTTTTGCATCGCCGCTAAACCAGGTGCAGAACAGGATTTGGCTGATGCATTGGGGTCTCTATATATTTTTTAACCATGATAACGGAAGGACACAAATCATTGATCTCTTTAACCAAGACAAGTAAGTTTAAACCTTTCTGTCACCTGCATCTCTGGCTATTCCTTTTTACAGTTTAAAGTAGCAAAGTAACATCTTTATCTAAAAATTCATCTCTCCCTTTTTTCCATGTATATCATTTGAAACCTATCAATGCTTCCACCTTTTTCGTACTTTGCATCTAAACTAGTTTTAGCTGAATTCGACATGCAAGATTGCTTGTCTGTGCATCCCGTTTTACTCCCAGTAGAGTGTGATCTGAATGGAATGAAGTTATGCATTGGTGGTGTTTGTGTCTGAAAAATATTGTTTTGAATCAAATTTAGTCCTATGTATACTCAGTGATTTACAGTCTCCAGTTGGAGAGTCTTTTCTTTTATATTGTCTGGACCTTTTTTGCTAGGATTGTGCTTTTAGTGAGGGCATTTGCTGAAAATTGATTCTCTTTGTTTTCCATGCCGTTTATGCAGTACTGTATACTAATTTTAAATATATGTATAGGTACCTAAATGCCATACAAACTAGTGCCCCACACTTGCTACGTTACTTGGCAACTGCTTTCATTGTCAACAAAAGGAGAAGGCCTCAATTGAAAGAATTCATCAAGGTCATTCAACAAGAGCACTACTCCTACAAAGATCCTATTGTCGAGTTCCTCGCATGTGTGTTTGTCAATTATGACTTTGATGGGGCTCAAAAGAAGATGAAAGAGTGTGAAGAGGTAAATCCGTTCACATGTATTCTGTGTCTTTTGAAATGGTGCAGGATAATATTATTAACAGTCTGATAACATGTTACTATGATGTAGGTCATTGTGAATGATCCATTCCTTGGAAAGCGAGTTGAGGATGGAAACTTTTCAACTGTACCATTGAGAGATGAGTTTCTTGAAAATGCCCGCCTATTCATCTTCGAAACCTATTGCAGAATCCATCAGAGAATTGACATGGGGTAAGTTATCATGTTTGCTCAATTGTTGTATACGTTTCCACATCTCATGGAATTGCTGAGTGTTGCACTTTTTTTCATATTCCTTGTGCATCATCATTCTACTGTCCTGTCTGCTTTTGAGTAATGTAGGAATAATTAGTGCGATCTTGTAGTTTAAATTTTTATTTATACTGAGAATCTCATGACCTTGTCAGGGTGCTTGCTGAGAAATTGAATCTGAACTATGAGGAGGCCGAGAGATGGATTGTGAACCTTATCCGCACCTCAAAGCTTGATGCGAAGATTGATTCTGAGTCAGGAACCGTAATCATGGAGCCTACTCAGCCCAACGTGTAAGAAGCAACACTCTATACACAATTCTGTATCATCATTTTTATCGGATTTCATAATGTTTGAAAATTCTTCAATCTAAATTCATTTCCCACTTAATGCAGGCATGAGCAGTTAATTAACCACACCAAAGCCTTATCAGGACGGACTTACAAGTTAGTGACTCAGCTCTTAGAACACACACAGGGACAAGCGGCTCGATAATCACAATTTTGCTGTGGAACCTATCCTTCACCATTTCCTTGATAATCCTCGCTTTGCTTGACTGGAATCAATTGTTTTTTTTGCTTTGCATTTGCCTTTATTTTGGAAACATGTCTACATACTTGGTCATCTTTGTGCAAGTTGTTCTATTTAATGTTGGATTCACACTGGGAAGTTCGACAATCATATTAACTCCTCGTTTAAGCTCATTCAGATGAGTTCTTTATGACTTTTGACTTACCAACATAAGTTTCTGCCTAATATTGAGCATTTCTAATTCGATAGAGTAAAGACAATTAAAGCATGTCACCAGTAAACAAAACTTTAAACTGCAAAGAACAGGTCACAAACAATTGTATACTCGTTGCCTCTCAAAAGCATAAAATTACACCAGGAATCCAACACACCAGAGTCATCAAAAGATAGAAAACCTCCAATTTTTTAATCTAACCTATATGAAGTTTCTTCAGTATGAAGGACTAGCAGATGGCTTCAATTTCTTTGGAGGTGGGTTTCCTCCAGACAGCACCACATATGAAAAGAAACACAACATGGCAGCACTACAATGAAAAAAAAAATAAACACACGGTCAAATGAATCCATTGAATATATATTCGTCAGACCCTCTTGTGGAGCACAAAAGGATTTTTTACCTGATGACAGCAAAAAGTCCAGAGGGAAACAGCTTCTTAGTCTGCATAAGTACAACAATTAAGCAGTTGAAGTCAAGCAAGCAAAAATAAACAATCAGCAGGATCACAAAAATAACGAATACCATAGAATAAGCTGTGAAGTTCTTCCAGAAGACGATAGCTGAAAGCACTGCATTTTCAGGGTTTCGAAGAATGAGTAAGCACAAAAGCTATCATAGATGAACAAAAACATTGAGATAAACATTCATGTGAATATTAATGATCTTGGTTCAAAGACGAAAACTTTAAGTAATGCTTTTTTCGAATTTCATATATCCACTTATCATGTGTAAGATACCAACAATTTCTTGATGAAATGAATTACAGATCGAAAGTAGTGATTACAAAACACCTGTCAATTGTTCCTGTGGGCAGTTAATGAAGATTACCTGCTTGTCCTAGTATGTAAGGGAAACTAGATTTTCCCTGTCGCCAAATCTTTAAGCTCAATGTACTAAGGGCTAGAAGGCCACCACCATAGAGGACACCAGTACTTAAACTTGTAAGATTTCGTGAAAACGCAAATCCAAGAAGCCCTCCACTCATAACAAGACCACCTGATTAAATTGTCATTTATGAAGCAGAATGAGCATCCACGAGGTACACTGACAACAAATACTCTCTCAAATGGAATGAAAATGGGAAAGAAGAATTTGAGAGTTTCATAAAACTCTTAGCTACATTCGACTAGGCCAGAAGACTAGAGAGATTTGCCATAGGTATGGAACGAATTCACAACAGCTACATTCAGCAACACGTTTGTAAGACCTTACATTGCTTGTAAACTCACTATTCGTAAGAGTGTTCAAAGGTCTACAGAAAAAGGTGAGTTTTTCTAAAATACAAATTATAAACTTTAACAGGCAGGGCACTAACGCTAAGATATGAAATAAAGTTTTGAGCGTCACAAAGTACCGTAAGGAATGCCAAAACAGAAGTCGTGGATCTTTGCTGCTCTTTTTGGCTGTGTGGCAACATGTTCCTCTACTGGCTCTGTGATGATCTCTTTGTTGGTGACAGTTTCATCAGCCGTGGGATACGGTTTCGATGTTTTCTCAACAAAAGGTTTTGAAACCTCAGCTGTATAGCTTAGAGAAGCTGGTGTTTCTGAGCTATTCCCATCAACGCTTCTCACTACAAAAGACTGTACCATTTTAAGCGAATTAGCCACGAGTGACGCTATCGGTTCCAGGATATCTAGAGGATAGATAAATAGATGAACAAAGGATTCAAAGCACATAGAAGCAATCAAGAAGTGGATTCGATTGATTCAAGCTATCCAATAATTTGTAAGAAATACAAAAGGGAATACTTTTTCTTTTTTTTGCAAAAGCCAAAATCATACAACAATCCCTACCTATCAGCCAGTGAAGTGGGAATCAATTCAAGTCCCAAGCAGAACCATTTCTAGGTAACAAAAAGCTCATGTCGAGTACGACTAAAATTAATCAAGCTCGTAATAATTTTTTGACAGCAATCATGAAAGGATAACAAATACAGAACTGGGCATCATCGAAATCAAATCGAGATGATAAAATTTATATCTTTTCAGACGATACTGGAGCAGTTTACCTCGGGACGAGACCTAAGGCATGGAGAGGATCGGCTCTGGAAGTGAAATTGGCGATTGGCGGAGGAGAAACAAGCAAGGTGAGAGATTTTCGCTGCCATCGTCGAGATCTGAGACTGGAAAGCTGAAGTAGAAAGTCAAAGGAGGAAGAAATGGAGAAAAAAAGCAGAGTCGATTTTTGGGAATGGAGCGTGGTCAGCACGAGAGGGAGTGGTTGATGTTTTGACTCAGCCGGCGTTATTGACTCTCGCTGAAAAGAGATCGGACAATCTTAACCGTCCGTTCGGTTTTGAAAATCGACCGGTCAAAATGTGGCAAGAAATTACGCGCATATTTTGTTAGGACTCTTCGGTTTATGTCTTTAGTGTCATTAAATTGATACGGTTTGGAAAATGGATTTCGGTTCATTTTCTCGCAATTCATTTTCGAATTTTGGTAGATGTAAAAAACGAATCCATTTAAATTATCTGTGAATTTTGATTCTTCGGTTTAGTTGGTTTAGGATTCGATTTCGGTTTATCGTTAAAGTGGGCTCGGATTGGTTTAGGATTCGATTTGATTTCGGTTTATCGTCAAATTCTATCACATAATCCTTGATTGAACCCGTTTGTCGAATACAACACAATATCTTTCTTGGTTCTTCATCCACGGGATCCCCAAAACGAGCCCAGAAGTTTTGTTTAAAGTCATTCCAGTCTGCAAACAACTCTTGTGCTAATTTCCAGTTAAACCAACTTAATCTAGGAGGAGATTAAATCCAATTTCTGTTCATCAGCATAATCACGCAATCTGAAAAACCTCTCAGCTCTAGCAATCTAACCAAACGGTAATGTACCGTTGAAGATAGGCAAATCCACCTTGCGTAATAGAATACTAGAAAGTTCTGGATACCCTAACTGATTAACATCCGGATCAATTCCTATAATAGTAGAGAAAACCTGATGTATCATCGGTGATGTTGTGGTCAGCACGAGAGGGAGTGGTTGATGTTTTGATTCAGCCGGCGTTATGGACTTCTTGATCGGACAAGCTTAACCGTCTGTTCGGTTTTGACTTTTGAAAATCGATCGGTCAAAATGTGCGAGAAATTACGTGCATTTTATATAATTGATTATGGTTTGGATTTAGGTTATCGGTTTATGTCTTAGTATCATCAAATTGACACGGTTTAGATATAGATTTCGGTTCATTTTCGAGTTTTGGTAGATGTAAAAACGAATCCATTTAAATTATTTTGGTGAATTTTGATTCTTCGGTTTAGTTGGTTTAGGATTCGATTTCAGTTTAGCTTTTAAGTGGCTCGGATTTAATATCAAGTTCTTTATTGAGCTTATTTCGTTGAAAATCCAGTGGTACTAATTGATACTCTTACAAAGTATGCAAATTGAGAAATTGGCTTACTCATTAGTCTTTTAGTTATATTTTAACACTGGTTAAAAAAATGCATACTGAATTTTCATGTATGTTTATCAATTCTTGATTCATACTATCTAAAAAAATCATAATTATTTAATATCTATGTTATATCTTCTTTTTTGTTTTTGTTAAAGATCTACGTTACATGGTTACATCTTAAAATTTAGTGTTGATTAAAAAATATATAAGATCCTAATTCTATTGGGATAAGGATTAAAGTCGGTTTAGAGTCTATGGATTAAGTTTGATCTATATGTATATTGTATGTGAATCAATATTATGGTTTCTTAACGAAAAACATTACTCCCTCTGTTCAGAATTATTTGATGTTTAAGGTTTTTGCACACAGTTTAAGGATCCAGAGTAAATGTCATAATTGTAACCCACTCACCAAAGTTTGTGTAAATACATTGACGTTGAGAGAATCGGTTTTCAAATCGTTCTTATTTACTTTTCTACGACATATTTTTATTAATGTATTTAAGAGTTGCGATGCTCTGTATCTTATTGATTCACAAGGTAAGGTATTTATACAAATATGTAGATCCTAAACCTAGTACGAATTTCTAGAGACTAGAGTACATAACTACATGTGAGGTTTTCTCTTTCAAAACGAACACTTGGAGGAACGTGACTGCTTCTGCTTCTCGTTCTCAAGTAGTGTACCCAACATACGTAGATGGTTCATTTCATTGGTTAAGCCACGTCTACAATTCAAAAAGACATACAGTATAGTGTCTTTTGATCTTTACACTGAAACTTTTTGAAATTAATCTGAAGACATTAGTTAACACTGTTGGTCATGTTGCTATATGCAACCTTAATGACCATTTGTGTATATCAGAGAAAAAAAGGAGAGGAAGCAAGAGATACGGTCGTTGTTCAGTTCAGACAAAAAGTGGGAGAAGATAACTTTCATATGTATTCAAAATTTGAAGATAACTTCCATTTGGTGTTTTGGCAAACCGTTGGCAACACAAATAATAGCAACTTTTAAGAAAAATAAAATTCTTCTTCATACTTAGAAAAACATGGCCGTATTTTAGTGATGCATGATCCTTAACAAAATTTACTTAGAAAAACATGATTCTTCTTCATACTTATGGTTACCTTTCAGTTCTAAGCATAGGAGGGTTTCTATTGCTTATTTCCCAAGGTTAGTCACTGTATGAGTGATGTAAGCATTAACAATGGATATAGATTCTTATTCAGTTATTCTTGTTTCAGTATTGAGCTAGCAATAAGTTTTATATGTTACTTTCATTGTGCTCTAGTTATTAAATTTACTAGGTGGCTGTAAGTTTTATATATTACTTTCATTGTGCTCTAGTTATTAAATTTATTTTTCAATCTTAAATGCTACATTGCCCTTGGTCTGTGATTTGGTTTCTTCACGTAGAATCTAAATTTGAGTACATTCAAATTCAACACTTTAGATGTTAACAACACTAGATTAATCAGAATGCACGAAATCAAAGTAATGAAGATAATCAAGCACCTCTTCAAAACCTGATGATTATAATTCTTTATCAGTTGTTGAAGGCTTGTAAGATCAATTGTTGAATTTCCAGGTGACTCTCAATTTTTCAAGTTTATTATCTATACCATTTTTATTGTATTGAGAGATAGTATGAGAGTATTTGAAACTGATAAATTTTTTGTTCATATAGAAATTAAATACATGTCATATTAACTAAATCATTATCATCTTGCATTTCTAGAAACTAAAACTATTATTACTTCCTTGTTTTGGGACCAAAACCAAATTATATCCGAGCAGAGTGTTTTCGACCTAGACTTTCTGAAATCTGAACTATTTTTACTTGGCTTTGGGTGTCGTAAAGCTCTTAACCTTTAACGGTGGTGTGGACTAATAAATAGTGATTGGTCACTAATGTGTAACAACATTTCAAGACAGATGATTCAGTCGCTCTATAAATTAGATGAAAAATATGCTACAATATGAAATCTTGATATTGTTGAAATTCACTCGCCTTGATCTCGTTTAAGGATGGAAACTCTCTTTGTAAGCGAACTAAAACAACGTTGCTAATAGATTGGACATGAAACAAAACTAAGTTCTGTATCTGTGATTTGTGAAGGCAGAGAGAGAGAGAGAGAAGGGAAACGAGGAACCGTTAAAAGAGTCTTCATTTGTACCAACCAGCAAGAAAATGCCGCAGCAGGAAACAGAAGGCGCAAGCTAGTGCCTGCAAAAGAAAGCAACAAAAATAAAAACCAAATTTGTGATTTCTCTCTCACAACAAGCTAGCTTGTATTAGAGAATGGGCATTTTACCTGGAAAACAAGAAGATGGATACAAAGATACTTTTCTGATTTCCTACCAAAAATTCTCAAGTAGACGTTAATGAGTGTCCCATCTTTGGTTCCCGTTAATAATCCGGTAGCAGGATCAAACCTGGTTCAAGAGGGAGGAAGAGTCAAGTCTTGCTGGCTTTGCTTTTTATGTAACAAGACAACAAAATTTAGCTTACTTTTTTTTTTTTTTTTTATAATAATATTATATTAATTTAGCTTACTTTGGGAGGCGATGTCGTGGACATTTTACAATGCCAGCAAGCTGAAGAGTTACACTATAGCAAGTTAGATGCTTAATAAGAAACTTGAAAAGTAGAAGAAAGTGTGAGAGGGAGAAAGGCGATCAAACCTGCGGAAGCGACAACAGAAAGTTCAACACTTGAGGAAGAAAAAAGATTAGGAGGGTTTCACTGCAAAAGTGAATTTAACGAAGATGGAGTTGGTTGGTTGAAGGCACACAAATTAGTTAAATGCAAAACTGCAAATGATGAAACTGAGCACAGGCCACAGGGGTATAAGAATGATATGGCTGGAAATATACCTGAAGTGACCCAGAATGCCAACAACTGCCATAGTCATTCCAGCGAAGACTGTGTAAGTGTCTCCAACAAAAACTGTAGAAGGGTACCTAACAACACCAAAGAGAGGACATGAATGTGGTTAGAGAAAGCATTAGTTCTTTTTTTTTTTTTTACCTGAGAGACTTAAGAGAAAGCTTTACTCAAAGTATTCAAGAAAAAAGACTTGAAAGTAATACCAATTGTAAGCAAGCATTGCCAAGGATGTTGCCATCAATGGCTGAGTAAGATATATGGAGAAGGCATGAGCTTGACGAAGCTCAGTATCAACAGATGCTCCGATTTGCATGACGTTATGTATCAAAATCTACAAGTAACTGAGATGCATCAATCTTTACTTAAGAGAAACCAACTAAAGGGAAAATGGGACGAAAGAATGAAGAATTCCAACGCATTTTGACTGCAGAACTTACAGCTGCTGCAATAACTACTGTTTGACCGATTTCAAGGCCATTCAGACCAGCGTGAATGTTTATTGAATTTGTGCAAAAGACAGCCAGTAGCGCCATATATAACTTATATATCCGTCCTGCCACGATAAAAATACAACTACGGAAATCAATTTAAAAAATAGTTGCTGCACGATATATAACACTATATAAAAGAAGATTATTGTACCTAGATCAAGTATTTCCAAGCCAACATAAGAAACCAGAGGTTTTGGTATAACGATAGTTGTATGTCCAGCATAAGCCATCAGAAGAGGAAGGGTTGCAAAAGATGGCAGGAGAAGTTTCCTGCAAATTGAAAAGGATTAAAAGTGTGAACAAAGTTCACGTATGAGCTCAATCAAACAAAATAAGAACTGCGCCTACACTCTCCAAGGCACATCAAGGACGTCATCTACAAATCCAAGCAAAATCATGAAGCAAATAGATGCCAGTGCTGCATTGTACTCCACAAGCCACTGCACAGAGTCATTCAGCCACATTGATGAAATGTGTTGAAAGCAATGAATGAGCCAAGAGCTAGCAACTTCATAGTTGACATCCATTTAGCAGAAAAATATTCCATTTTACAAAAAACAACAACAGGGTTTGTCACATATGCGAAACAGGGGAAACAAAGGGAGAATTATAACGTGGGCTTTCCATATACAATGACCCATTCAGCCAAAAGAAATGAATGATCAAGCTTATAGCTTTTGAGATAAACACACTTACCAAGGAATCTTCTGTGAAATTAAAGAACTGAAATATTATCGCCACGACCAAGAAGACAATACCGACAACTATTCCCAATGACTCAGGCCTACACAAAGAAAAGAGATGAGAGAAAGAAAAAAAGTGAGATGCAAAATAAAATCAGCAAATCAAAACTCTTCAGGCCAACCACACACGCAGAAAGTCAGATGTCCCAGCAGATCAAATCAAGCCAAAACTTCAATATAACATCAATTAGAAAATGAGATTCCTCCCCATAAAAATCAAATCTTTAGAAACATCCATTTCAAGAAAAAACGATGAACACTAATAACACTGAATATAAAGCTAAACAACTACATAATGAGACAAATCTAAGAGGGAAAAACTTACACTTTAACTTCTCCTTGAGGAGTGCCTCTTTTGTTGATATCAAAACCAAACATGTTACGCCTCAGGACATATGTAGCAGCCACAGGTATCAATTTGAGTGTAACAAAGAACCCCACCAAGCTAAGCCCAGCATTGATGAGGATCGGTCGCTTGAGCTCATTATCAACATTGTAATGAAAACAGAGAAGATAGAGGTAGAGCGAACACAGAAGCGAAGAGATCACGAGAATCACGCCCAATTTCGGCGGTGCGAGACGGAAATCATCTCCGGAAGCAATAATCTTACGCTCCGCCGGCGCCGGTGCCGGTTTTTCCGAATTAGTCACTGAAGAAGTTCTCTTACGAGCAGTCATGGCGGATCCGTTGGGTTCTTCGGTTCCCCGCCTCTGGATTTTTGCTTTCTCGACTTTTCGCTAAAGCTCAAAAGTCCGTAGCAATTTTCAAAGCACCGCACGCGTCACAAGCACCCAAACTAGAAATTGCCAATATGACGCCGTATCTAGAGTATAAGAAATCTGAATTTGTTGTTAAAAAAGGCCAAAATGTGAAGAAAAAATTAAAGGAAAGGGATGAAGAGAAGTTTAGAAATACAAAAATGAAGAGTAAATCATACGTATAAACTGATTAGATCCAACATACAAGGTAATGTTTTTTTATTGTTTTTATGTAAACTCTGAAACATCATCATCTCATAGATGAAATCATAACCTGAGAACATGCGAAACTTTCTCATGCTGGTGATGAGAAGAAACTCAATGCCAAACAAAAAGACACGAGCTGTAATCAAATCTTGTCAGAAACCATACAGAACAATTCAGGAAAGCCCCTCAATGTGGAAGTTGAAAAAAGAGAACAGAAGTGAACCAGGTGGATCAGAAAGTTGATGAATTTTGTATTTGAAGTAATAAAAATCAATATGATCAGGTATTTCTGAATGTTACATAAGATAGAACTATAGAAGCCTGCCAATCTTCTAATTCCTATTCATCTGTAATTCTGTAGAACCATCTGTATAACCTAAACGAAAATACTTTTCGAAATGTACACCAGAGCTCATAAAATCTTTCTAAAAAAAATCCCACTCTTTGTAAAACAGCACTATTCAGATGATGGTTCCCTCTGGGTTGCTTCCAATCTTGGAGGCGATTGCGGTGGTATTGCTGATGCTTGAGATTCATTGTCAAGATCAAGATGGGCTTCCAAAACCCTCCTCCTACCAGTTGCCTGAGATGATTCTCGGGTAGAGCTTAATGTGCTTGAAGAGTTGTTCCCATCTTTTGAGAGAGACATGTGAGCTGAGGTTACCACCGAGCTGAAAACACCCGCCTCTCTTAACTCTTGGATTATTACCTGTGAAAGATGATAGCTTGTGGAAAACCAAACATTTGATGGATCAAGTCAAAATAAAGAACAAGGGTTTGTGGTGACTAACCATTGGGGCATAAATTCTGGTCAGAATCCCCTTCCTAAGGAGTTTCAGTTTCAGTTTTTCATCCGTCCACACAACATGTTCTCTGTACCTGTATTGGTGGAGCTTGTTAGAATGCAGCAAAAATGGGATGAAGAGAGTAGTGATTATTATTGAGTCGACATTGATACCATTGAAGCATTTCCTCTGAACTCGCGGTTGAAGCAATGATAAATGCCTGCACACCGAAGAAAACGATGGCCAAGGGCAATGACTTGTATACTTCAGAATAGTAAGCAGGAAATAGAAAGGAAAAATGTATCGATTCCCACTCACAGCTCTGTCAAACTCCAACATGAAACATCTCTTAACATCCACCTTAGTGGGCTTGCAACCACAACGATCACGCCTTGAAGTAAGATCTGAAAATCTGGGATAAGTGTAGTGCAGCACGGCAGCTTCTTCTAGTTTGACCTCACTGTCAAAAAGATGCCATTTATCAGCCACAAAATAGACAGCTCCCAAACAATTGAAATCGACAGGCTCAGGCACGTCCATGTCGCATTACAAAGCAAAAGCATGCAAAAGTAGCTTCTATTGAATAAATCGCACTAGAATCTATCATACTAGATACAGGGGAAAGCGATGCCAAATACAAAGAGTCACATGATAGAACCAAACGAGAAAAGAGCATACTTTGGACTCTTCCTGTAGTTGTGCCATCGATGAGCACCATTGGGACGAAGATGGTCCTGAACACGGGCAGCAGCTTTTCCATTTCCATAGGTTAGGAAATAGTTTGGATTTCCACGAGTGGCCTCTTTATAGCTTCCAAAGTAAACATCTCTCGGAAGATGGTCATAATTCTTCTTGAACATTGATACCTACAATATAATGGAAGTAACAACAAAAGAAAATTGTAGTATTAGATCTATGGAGATGACATGTATTCAGTTTCTCATGGTGGCATAATAGCTTGAGATGGTTCTTTACCTCGCTGAAAGGTTCCTTGATATCATCTCGTTCAACGCTGCTCTCCTGAAACAGGGACCAGGAAAATGAAAAAATGAAGCCAAAAGAAGCTTTTTCAGTATAAAATTGAAAGTCCTATGTAAGACTCACATAATTTGGAAAGATAACTATATCCACATCTGCAGAGATATTTCCCAGCAATTTCCGTAAGGAATATTCATGAGTTCCAGAAGGATGTATAAGCTCGTCGGTGTCAAGATGAATTATCCACTCCATACCAGCATCCTAAATACAACGCATAACAGAAACTTGTGCCATGTAAGAGGTTGGGAAAATTTTTTATTTTATCAAGTGGCTAATACCACACGCCGTATTCAAGTATGGAAAATGTACAGATACCTTAGCCATGGTGATTGCCATTTCCATATTCAAGGACTGTTTCACGAATAACTCGTAGTTACACGGTTTGTAAAAGAAGCTCGACAACCAAGTCTCATTCCATATCCGGCTGTAAACCAAAAGGAAATGAAATAGCACATTAGCGGATTTGTACATCTAAAGTAATGGAGCTAAATCCCAAGTTTTAGAAGTGACATTACAGTCACAAGGAAAGCACATCATACATCACCATTCTTTTCAAACTAAACAATTTGATGTCATTCCAAGAAAGTCAAATCCTCCAAGTTTTCTAGACCGATCTTACTCATAAAATCAGAACTTCCCTACATTCTATTTAGTTTCTGCGATAAAAGAACTTATTCCCTACCATTTCATCAAACACAAAATCCACAAAGATGCAACAAACCATACATACCTTTTAGCCTGCTGTTCTTCCAATTCTTTTGTCCTGTGTATAACTTTTACACCCTGCAAAAGAAATCGCATTGGCAATAAGAGGAGGCGCAAAACAAAACTAATAAACCGTGAGAAAACAAATTTAATGGATCAGGCAAAAGCTCCAAAGCTTACGGGAATTGTCTCCAAAACTCGAGACACATTTGGGGATGCAGCCTTTCCCTCAACAAATAGATAAAATGTTGAAACTCCAATAACTTTGTGAAAGAAAATCCATGGAAGTGTTTGCTCTAAGCCAGCGGAAGTGCTTGTTGTAATGCATATCTAACATGAGAAAATCGCAAAAACGAAACACACATTTGCAGAAAGTCAGAATCTTTTTAACCAATTTCATAAAACCCAAAATTAAAAATCACAACTTTTCCCTGAGGACACAAATCAAATCCCAGGGCAGAGACAAACACCATCACAAAACAAGGATCAACAATACATGGCAATCAAATATATGAACAAGAACGCGTCTACATCAAATCAAATGATACCAAATTCACCATTAGATTGGATTACAGATTCACAGGGGCGTCATCACTCACCCTAGGTTTCAGATCCGAATGGTAATCAAATTTCCAGTCTCGGAAATAGGGAAACGAAGGGGCACGACTCTGACCTAGAAGATCAACGCAGCCCGAATCAGAACCTGAACGTCGCAAGGACCGTTTCTCGTGGATTGTGGCCATTCCGGGGAACTCGTGATGATCGGTGGACCAATGAGTAACCGGGTCGTCGAGTCCGCCACGCCATTGAAGAACGAAGGCGAAACAGGCGAGGGAGAGAGGAAGAAGGGTTACGAGCAATAACAGACGCGAGGAAGATGGTGATGATGTTGAAGAATAAGAAGAAGACACAGTGGGTTTTGAGGAAGAGTTCAAGAGACCCGCCATGGAAGTATGCTATCAGGAAAACGCCAGAGGCAGAGGCATAGAAGAAGATATACAAATACGAATATATGTGAGGGTGTGTATCACTGTATATAGAGATGCTGGGAGGGAGACGAAGTTGAAACTGAAAGCATTTGAACGGAAAAATTGTCAGTTGGCCTTTCTTCTTATTTTCTTCCTATAATATCAAAAATAAACATTGACTATTTTATTTACATAGTCGAAGTAAACAAATATATATATTTTTTTACACGGCAAAAAATACAAATAAATACTCCATATCTACATTCAAAAATGAAACAACATGATAATATAGCTTAATTTTTTAAAATAAATGATATAGTCAAGCCATCAAATATTTTATAAATTATTTTTTCCCAAATAAATCTGATTTCAGTAATTTCAGTGTAAGTAATTCAAATATTGCAAAATAAAAAGCCAACAAATCTGGCTAAAACTTTAACATGGTTAGTAATAATATTATTAAATCCAAAATACTTAAATGCCCGTAGAAAATTTTGATAACTAATAAATTAGATTTATTACCATTTATGCACGAGCTTTTGAGTTGTTGCTGAAAGGATATGGGTGAGGAATTGAGTTAAATTAAAGTGCAAACTGACGAAATAATCGGTCTTTGTTAACGTGAATAAATTAAGTTGCTAATCTACTAGGAGAGAATTGATAATTAAAGTTTCTGCCAAACTCTACTACATATATTGAAATTCTTCTGCCAAACCTCAATTAATTTACTACTTATAACAATGGGTAATGGGCTAATCAATAACTTCAGAATGTAAGTATGTAACCAACGAGACCCCGACAGTATTGCATCAGCTATGTCTTTATATGACGAATTCGAATATGACCACTAAAAATGTATACAAAATAAAGAATGGCAAAAACAAGAAACATACAAAACAAGAGTTTAGTGGTTGTGGTTTAATTCGGAAACCTGTTTCCAAAAGAAATCAAAGTTTCCACTGTGATATCGTAGAATGACAATTTTATAGTTAAGTCCTATAAAAAAAAATGTCAAACCCGTAGCAAATTGGACAAGAGTCAATTTTGGCGCGTTAATTTATGTCATAAACCGATATAAATACCAAACCATATGATATCGAACCAGATTTGACCACTTTGCATAGTCACCAATTCTTCTTAACTTTCATACTGTTAGAATCAGATTATAGTGCTTATCAACAAAAAACAAAATTGTAAACTATACACGAGTAACCATTGGTTGCTTTGGATACATTAAACAACAAAGGTACGAACTAATTAAGAGTTAAGACTAAATTGCATCAATTGATCTTCTCAAGCCAATATGAGCTCCAAGGAATGGTCCAATGTTTCCATCCAAAACTGATTTTAGGTCCAGAATCTCTAAACCGGTTTTCTTATCAACCACCATCTTCTGACCCTTAGAGACATATCTCCTTGTTTCATCTATTTTCCATGGTTCCACAATGTTTTTGCTGTTGATTTTATTTACATCTGAAATATTTTGCTCTTTTGCTATCACAAGCAACTTCGCCTTTAACCGGTTTAGGGCTTTGATCCTATTTGCAAACCGGTTTCTTTCTCCTGCATCAAGAATCTCTAATATTATAATCTGCATAAGATGCAATAAACCAAAGTGTAATACAACTCAAGAATACCTGAAGATTCTACGGTTATGCCACTCGGAAGATGTTGAATACGAACCATATGCTCAGCTAATTTATGATTATCTTTTGCAGGATACGATACAATCAAATCGTCGTCCTTTACTTCAAAATCAGGAGACGCTCTCAAGAATAACGGTATGATTTCTACAGAGGCTGAACATACCTAACGAAAATAAAACATCTTTTAGTTCTTTACAGGGGGCAAGAAAATGGACAATGAAGTGATTAGTGTATACCTCATTAGAAGTGGAACTTGTGATAAGGCGGTGCATGCCTCGCTCACCTAAGAGATAACCGTAAGCAAACTCGAATTCAAACTCTATTGTGGCTGAATTTAAGCCATTTTTATTGCTCATGAAGCTGCATTTCTCAGCCACTCTTGCATTTTGGCCTAGCTTTTCTGCCCATTTGATGTACATGCTTACAACTTGCTCTGTCCATATCTGCAAATCCTAAAAATGTTATAACAACATAAAAGAAAGTAAGACACTTAGCGTCTTGAGAATGGTGAAATTGACCTGAGATTTTGTGTCTTGAGATCCAGATTTGATAACCATACAAGCGCCTTCAGTGTCATATTGATCCCTAAGAAGCTTAGACATCTCATAGTGATGCAAAGATCTGCTTACATCGAGGGATGAATCGTAAGCTTGCTCAAAGAGACTGTAATCTATAGCATCCATCTCACCCAATTGTATGATTAGCTTAGCTTCTTCCGCCTAATCAATAAACACATTCAAAACTAAGTATCTACCGAAACAAAAAGCCAAAAAGATTTGTTTTGAGTAAACAACCTTGTATTTGAGGTCTTTGAGAGAATCAACTGCTTTGGCACGATCAGCTAATTTGAGAAGAATCTCATCGGATTTGGCTGGATCATCCCATAAGTCATAGCAACGCATTGTTTCTTCTTGCTTTATCCATTGCTCTTCTTCGAGTTCAAGAGCGTTCGGTGTTAACATCTCGGCCTTAAGAACAACATCTTTTATCTTCTTCTTTAATGAAAACAGTCCTGAGGCAAAAGTAAAACAAGATATTACACAAATACCAGCAAACCAAAGCAAAACTCACAATAAAAAGAACTTAAAGCTCCCAACTTTATCCAAATAAAGAACAAATTCCTAGAACCCAGTTCCAAGTTTATTAATTTTTCTTGGCTAAAAACTCATCAGCTTCAATGAGTCAATGACTATCTATCTCTAGATGGATACGAGAGAGAAAGAGAGATACCCAATTGCTTATATACGGCGTCCATGTCATCCATTGAATGAGAGGATCGAGCAGAGAAGAGAAGAAACCGAGATGTTGTTCTCTTGTTCAAATTTCTTGAAAAGCGCCGCCATGAACAGCCTCCGCATGTAATCTTTGCCGCCATTTTTGTTCGCCAGAGTTCCGACTAAAAATATCAAATGGGGTTTAAGCTCAGTTCTTGTCCGCGTGATGGGTCTCCACAACCTTATCTTTAGGCTCTGTTTTAAAATTTGAGTCTTTTATGTCTTCCACGTATATAGTTCTGGCAACTAAATTTGATACAATTCTACGAGTATCAAAACAAAGGAAGGCATTTGATAGTTTGAAGGGTATTTACGTAATTATCTGCAGGGTTTAGGCTTCTGAGTGAAGATTTTCGAGCTAATACGCTGCGTTTTGATTCTCTCCGACTCTGAGGATGAGTCTGAGTCTCTGACTATCCTCCTTTCGACGGAGTTGCTTATCCCGTCAATTTTCCGCGCGATTGCATCCAATCCCGTAGTGATAATTTTCAAACGAAATGGTGGTTTTGATTTCAAGTACAGTGGCTATTTGCAGTGTAAAACCAAAGCTTGAAGACGGAAGCTTTCGCGTCAACCGGTTTAGACCCAGACCCGAAGTTCCATTTTTCTCAGGTAATTTTCTATCTTTTTGTTGAAAGTCGGAAGAATTTTCTCGTTTTAGTGATGTGATTCTGAGGAAAAACTGAAATTTTCAATAGGGTTAAGTGAGACGAAGAAGAAGAAATGTGACGTTTTGGTTAAGTGTTTAGCTGTGAAGAAAGAACAAGTTGTTCAAAGCGTGGAGAGAGCTAAAGGGACAATTTTTCCAAAGAAAGCGAAAAATATCATCATGAGCGAAGGGAGAGATGAAGATGAGGAGTATGGGAAACTTATTTGTCCAGGTTGTGGGATTTTTATGCAGGACAATGACCCAGATTCACCCGGATATTATCAGAAGAGAAAGATCACTGCAAAGAACTTGGAAGAGGAGGAAGACGAGACTGAAGATGAGCTTGAAGGGTTTGAAATGGTTGATGATGGTGATGATGATGAGGAGGAGGATGATGATGAAGATGATGAAATGGATGATGATATCACGAATGCATTAGAGGATAGCAACTCTGAGAGTGAGAATGAATTTGACTGGGAATCAGATGAGTGGGAAGAGAAGGAGAACGAGAATGATGTCGTATTGGATGGTTTTGCTCCGGCTGGTGTTGGATATGGTAATGTCACTGAGGAGATAGAGAAGAAGAAACGGGTTTCGAAATCAGAGAGGAAGAAGATAGCTAGAGAGGAGGCAAACAAAGACAAGGATAATGATGTGACGGTGTGTGCACGTTGCCACTCTCTGAGAAACTATGGCCAAGTGAAGAATCAGACTGCTGAAAACCTCTTGCCAGATTTCGATTTCGATAGGATGATATCAACCAGACTGATAAAACCGATGAGTAATAAATCGAGTACTACGGTTGTAGTCATGGTTGTTGACTGTGTAGACTTTGATGGTTCGTTTCCCAAACGAGCAGCCAAGTCCTTGTTCAAGGCGCTTCAGAAGGCTGAAAATGATCCAAAGGTTAGCAAAAACCTCCCAAAACTTGTGCTTGTTGCAACAAAAGTAGACTTACTTCCCACACAGATTTCACCAGCTCGGTTAGACCGGTGGGTACGCCACCGTGCCAAGGCGGGAGGAGCGCCTAAGCTGAGTGGGGTTTATATGGTTAGTGCTAGGAAAGATCTCGGTATCAAGAATCTATTAGCTTACATCAAAGAATTGGCTGGTCCACGAGGAAATGTGTGGGTTATTGGAGCCCAAAATGCTGGGAAATCTACTTTGATTAATGCCTTCTCTAAGAAAGATGGTGCCAAGGTTACAAGGCTCACGGAAGCTCCAGTTCCTGGAACAACTCTTGGAATATTGAGAATTGGTGGAGTATTGTCTGCAAAGGCGAAGATGTATGACACCCCAGGCCTTTTGCATCCTTACATTATGTCGCTGAGATTGAATTTAGAGGAGCGGAAAATGGTAGAGATAAGGAAAGAGCTTCAACCTCGGTCTTACAGAGTCAAGGCAAGCCCTCTCATTACTCAATATCTCAAAAGTTTTCTCTAAGCTTTTGTTTTGGAAATTGATGACGTTAATTTCTGATGTTCTAAATCAAGTAGAATACTTGTTCCATAAATTGTTCCAAGAAGAATTGACTTGACTTAAACTGTTCCAAGAAGAATTGACTTGAACTGTTTAATAGCTTCAAGTAGAATACTTGTTCCATAAATTAAGCTGTTCTGTCGAATTATTTGCAGGCAGGACAATCTGTTCATATTGGTGGCTTGGTCAGGTTAGACCTCGTTCGTGCATCGGTCGAAACGATATACATAACGGTATGGGCATCGCATAGCGTTTCATTGCATCTTGGAAAAACAGAGAACGCCGAAGAAATATTCAGAGGGCATTCAGGTTTACGCTTGCAGGTGAGTGTAAGCTTGTTTTCTCGCACATTAACTCATTTCAACGACATTAGAAATGTAAGAGAAACTCTCTTTTTCGTCTCTTAAATAGCCACCGATTGGAGAGAACAGAGCGTCTGAGTTGGGACAATGGGAAGAGAAGGAGATTCAGGTGACGGGAAGTAGTTGGGAGGTGAAAAGCATTGACGTTGCAGTGGCTGGTCTTGGCTGGTTTTCGCTTGGTCTCAAAGGTGAAGCGACATTAGCATTGTGGACTTATCAGGGCATTGATGTAACATTGAGAGAGCCATTAGTCATTGATCGAGCACCATTTCTTGAACGGCCTGGCTTCTGGTTGCCAAAAGCCATCACGGAAGCGCTTGGAACCTATTCTAGTAAGCTTGATGATGCTCGTAGGAAGAAGAAGCAACAAGACAGCACAGATTTTCTCTCTGATGACTAAGTAACAGAGCTTACGATCTAGTGCTGCTGATACTAGTTATAGAGATTAGCTTATATCAGTGTGTAGTCACCAGTGGAAATAGAAGAAAATTTTCATTTTTTGAAATCAAGTTAACATTTTGGATTTGTGTATTTTAAGCCATTTTTCAAAACGACATAAAAGTAGAAATCTATAAACTGAAATCAAGTGAAATCGTGTCTTCCATTAAGATCAAGAACTATGAAAAAGGAAAGAAATAGTAAAATATTTAAGATGAATTTGCAAGAAATATACGGTAAAACAACCGTAAATAAGTGGAAGATACGACTTTCACGCGAATAGTCTGATACGATTTTACTTAATCGTGCATATACTCAAGTTATATCTATTGAAAAAAAAAGATAAAAAAAGAGAGATCTTTCATTTACACTTGCTTCTTCATCTTCTTAAAGGTTTCTCTTTTTCTGGATCCCTGCATTTTCCTTGTGCTTTGTTGTATGCGTGACCTAACTCCCCAAATTCTTGTGATTTTGTTGGATTGTTCTCGGTAGTATCGATCAAAGATTAGGATTTGGTAGGGTTTTGGAATTTGGTTGTGTGTTTTGGGAATTGTGGGCAAGAGAGCTGAATAATGAAGAGAAATTGTAGGATTTGGTTCCCTAAGCTGCTTCCATCAACTGATGATTCGACACACAGTCGTATGTTATTTGGGTGGTTCGTATCACATTCCTCTTCTTGTCTTGACGTTGTTGTGGCATTCATCTCTGATGAAATCTCCTTGTGCAATGGCGGATCTAGGCTCCAAGTAAATTTCTCCACTTCAAAATTTCTTCTTTTTTTCGTTCCATCTTATTTTCACGAATTTGTACATAACACTAAACAGTGTATTCGACATTTTTCTTTTCGTGATCTCTAACAGGACCTACTCCATGAAACAAATGAGAAGATGCCATCAAATCTGCGGGAGAAGACGACATTTACGCTTCTTGGTCGTTATGATATATGCCTTAATGCAAATGGAATCTCATCCAAGATTACAACAGACAAAGATAGTTTTTGCAGATATAGTAGCCTAAGCTGTGGCTGTCATAAAGTTGATGGCTTATTAGAGGGTTTCAGGAAAGATTCTGTGAGTAGTCACTGGATTCATATTGTGCACGATTCTTCGGAGCGTAGAATTATGGAATTCGATTCAAGTTCTAGATTGCATCATATTCATTGGAATGGGGATATTGTATCTCAATGTGATGTACACGTATGTAAGTCATGATGTCTTTCTCCTATATTATTCTTTCTCTCTCTTTTTTTTGGTAATCTATGTACTGCCGTACTTGACTCTATAAGCATGGACATGTCAGGTTATAGTCTATGACGCTCCAGTGTTTGGTTCTCACCATTTCTCGTTAAGCTTTTGGAATTCTTCTCCTCAGTCAAAAGCTCCTGTTAAGAAACCCAATTGGGTTATTGATCTTCACAAGAGGCAACCTTTGAATGAAATGGTTGAGTAGTTTCCAAATGGTTTCTCTTTGTTTTGCTGTTAATTTCTCGACTTGTTGCTAATATTATCTATTCTTATGTAAGTAGGAGACTGTGATTCTTTCTATAAATTGCGCCTCAGCTGCCAAGATTGCCTATAAGAAGCTATTCACGCAGCTGGAGACTTCTTCACGGAACTTTTCTATTAGTTACTTGTAAGCTCTCGTGAGATTTTACTTGTTCTGTTCTTCCTTTGTCTTTGTTGTTAGTTGTTCTAACTCCCTGCATCCTACTTTTCAGGATATCTTCTTTGACATGGTGGTTACTCGCCACAATTTTAAGCTCTTCATCAAGTCTATATTATAGCCTTATCCAGTTATTCTATGTACTTTCAAGTTTCCCGATTTTCTCATGGGTACATATAGCATCAAGGAGAATACTCAAGAATACATGGATCAACTTCAGAGTACGCAGTTGTCAGATCTTATATTGGCCAATATTCCTTCAAGAGAATGACATGACGTAAGTTCAATCAGAAACCCAAATTTGCTTCTTTAGCTTCATAAAACTTTTTTTGTTTGCTCTTGGCTCAAAATTGCATTTTTACACTTTTCGACTGCATACTACTTATCTCTGGAAAACAAAAGCTTAATTCCCAGATACCATCATGCAATGCATTCCTCATTTTCCTGACTAGTTTCACACAATTGTATTGCTAAAAATTGTTTAGCTTTTTGGCACACGTCCTAACATAGATCATTGAATTTTGTGTCTCTGATTTGGTCATGGTTTTGTGTATGTGCTTATCGATTTATGACAATTCTTCTGGGTTTCACAAGGTCCATATCCTGTGTGGAACATGCAGAGAAAGCTGCTCTGCAAAGACATTCTACATGGTCGGCCATGGCTGTTGATCTTGTTTTGGGGAACTTGATTGGTCTAGGACTATTGTTTAACACCGGATCTGTCTGCTCGTGGATTTTCAACTTTGCAAAGGAGTTTACTAATGATATCTTGCGATCCGGTTGTCTGTGGTTGATGGGAGTCCCAGCGGGTTTTAAGCTAAACACAGAATTGGCTGGAGTTTTAGGCATGGTATCTCTTAATGTAATCCAGATATGGTCTACTCTCTGGTTCTTCATGGCTTCTTTCATCTTTTATTTGATAAGAGCAATAGCGATCATGGGAATTACCTTTGGTGCAACAGTATCTGCTGCCTTTGTCATAGATGCTATTACTTTTGCAACACTTCATATAACTGCTCTTCATTGGGCAATCACACTTGTGTACTCTCACCAAATTCAAGCTTTGGCGGCTTTATGGAGACTTTTCAGGTAATCTTTTGATTATAGACTTAGCTGAGTTCATGCTGATAATTAGGAATCTGGTGAATTGGTATCTTGGGTTCTTAAATGTATAACCAGGAAAGATGCAATTATTTCTCTGTTTTCCTTTGAAAATTTTTGAATCCGAGGGAAATTCTAAGCATTTTTCTCATTTCCTTAAACCTTATCTTGAATTATTCTTTGTTATTTCAGAGGAAGAAAATTGAATCCTCTGCGTCAAAGGTTGGACAGCTATGGTTACACTGTGAAGCAACATGTGGTGGGCTCTCTTCTGTTCACTCCTCTTCTGCTTCTCTTGCCAACAACTTCAGTTTTCTACATCTTTTTCACCATTACGAGCACTACAATCAACTCCATATGTATGTTGATTGAATTCACCATCTCTATCATCCATGCAACACCGTATGCCGAGATTATGATGTGGCTTTTTAGGCGTAAAAGATTCCCGTCTGGTGTTTGGTTTGAAATTGAACACTATGGAAAGAATGTCCTCAATTCCTCGAATGATGATTTTGAAGACAGAAGCAATACAGCATCCAATAGTCGACGAGAAGAACATAACATTCCTGAGAAGAAACCATTTCTAATGGTTTCCAATCTCCGCAGCAATTTTTTAAGCATAGGTGAGATTCTTGATGTTTTTTCAAGTCAGTGGAAAGTTCATCTGAATGCTCTGTTATGCTTCTGTTTATGGTTAATATGTGCTGACATTATATGAAAATATTGCAGGACAGATTCTTTTGCCTCACTATACAACAATGTTTTCAGGAATATCAGCTTCTTCTCTGACTACATCAGCTCGTGGAGTCCTCAGTGGGAAAAGGTGAATTGAAATTATCTTTACCACAGATTTTAGCCTCACTGTTTCTCTCCCTGTTTTTAAGTTATTTACCTTTTGTCGTCTTTCCAGAATGCCATCAAAACTGGGGCTTGATCTCCCTCCTTCAAGACCATGGATGCACATGCCATTGAGACAGTACTGGATCCTATGCCATGATTCCATCATCTCATCCGCGGGAAACGGTTAATTTCCCAAGTAATCATTGGAAAATATGGAGTCCTTTATAAATGTTGGGGTCTTATATCTTGATTTTGTTAAGCAGTAAAGTAATAGTTATTACATCTATGAACTTGGTATATCAGCTTTATTTCAGGTTTAACTATGTATTGTTTCTGTTTGATATTATATTGCGCGTCTAACAAAGAATAATTCAAGATAAGGTTTAAGGAAATGAGATGATAAAACAAAATAATACTAGCGACCTTCTTTAGTCTTTACTCTTTACTAAACAAACAGTAAGGACAGACCCACCTTCCTATCCAGTCAGAAGTTGTTGCCCGAATTACGTGTCTTGCCGAGATGATTGTTTTCATATTACTTTTATTGCAGTTCAATTGTTTTTTTTTTTATAAAACGCAATGCAAAAACATTAATGGAAAATCTCTTTAAAATTATATAGCAAATAAAATTGGGTTGCATGTCCAAAATATATATTAAATAATTAAAATGTATCAAGCATAAAAGTTACAAATTGTGATGAGTTCTCTCATTCCCATTGATAATTTTAAATTGTAAAGATTTGTTTTTGGTCAACCAAGGAAAGAGATTTGATATATTTTACTCAATAAGATTTTGGTTACAACACATTTAATCAATAAGATTTTGGTTACAATACATTTAAGTATTAAAGATGATGAATTTATCTACTTATGATATTTCTTCTAATATAAGGGAAAGAAATTTAATTTTATAGATTTCTTTTTGAATTTCTTTTTGAAAAATTAACCTAATACGTGAGTAACTTAGCATACAAATAAGAGATTTCTCTTGCGTCTTGTCTGTTGCATTTTCAAAGAGAAAAAAAAAAAAGAAAAGAGGTATTGAAGAATATAAGAAAGAAGAAGGAGAAAGTAACAAGGATGAGTCAACCTCCAGTTGGTGTTCCTCCTCCTCAAGGTACCTCCCGATCACTCTTGTGATCTCAGCAGTTCTCTCTCTCTCTCTCCGTTTATAGATTAAGAGAATGTTGTTGTTAGATCTGTTTTGTTGTATGATTTTGACTCCTAATTAATCGTCTTTTCTTCTGATGTATTTACATCTAATCTCTGATTATTTTTGAATAGGTTACCCGTCGGATGGACATTATAAGCAGGAAGGTTATGGAGGAAACCCACCAGAAGGTTATCCTCAGGCGCAGGGATATCCTCAGCAAGGTTATCCTCCTCCCTATGCTCCTCAATACCCACCGCATCAGCAGCACACTCCTGGTATGCTTGAAGGATGGTATGTCATTGCTCCATTAAAACCTCATCCAGCTACTTCTATTTCCATTTCATTAATTGATTGGTAATATCTAATAAAAAAAAAACAAGATGTGTCCTGTCTCGTTTTGGTTATCTTTCTCTCTTTTTGTGGAGTACTTGGAATTATTTAGTACTCTAATTTGCAATGCTTTATGTGATAATTGTTTGGTTTTATTTAATTTGCAACTCTATAGCAATTTGAGTATGCGATTATATATATTTCTGTTGTACGTTGAATATGAGCTTTTGTAATTTTTATATATTTAACTATTGATATATTGTGATGCTTTTTTGCTGTTTTGCAGTCTCGCTGCTCTGTGCTGTTGCTGTGTCTTTGATGCTTGCTTCTGATCACAAGTCTCTGCTTTAAGCTGCGGAATTTGGATTTGTTTGTTGGTTTATGATCTTTAGATATTGTATCATCTTATCTTCTTCGTTTTATGCATTTTTCAGCTAAATAATAAATTAATTAATTACTGCTATCGACTTTCTTCTGCCTAATGGAAGTGTAAATGTTTTTGGGAAACATTTCAGATATTCTCGATTATTTGATTTTACTTGAAATTGCGTATTCTCTTTTACTTTTCCGTATTTTAACAACAACAACAAAAAAAACGTATACAATAACTTTCCTCTAAAATCCATGAAGTCAAGTTATTTGTGAACTATTTAGAAATTTATGTACTAATGAAATTTTTTAAACTTATATTGAGAGGAAAAAAGCATTTTAATATTAGAAACCTCAAATTCATTAGAATTGATGAAATTTGAATTTCATTTGTATGCTAACATATTTAAATCGCAAGGTAGCAAAAGGATAGAAAATAAAAATAAAAACACAAAGCTACGACGTTGAATTTACAAGAGAAGAGAGTCCACACAAAGACACATATTAAAATTCTATTATTTAGTTTAGGTCAGAGCTCTAAACAACAGCCAATTCGGATACCCTTGATGAAAACTAACCACTCTTGGCATCCATGAGACTCAAAACCGATATCTATATATATATATATATATATATATATATAAAAAAGAATAGAGATCATGACTTTATTGATGTATCATGTATCACAACAAACGAAGCAAGACTGAAAGGAGATATGTATCGTAATTATAAAGCTATATATAAAAAAAAAATCTATCAAATATATCGCAAGTCATTTTCAATCAAAGGTAGCTTCTTCTTAAACTTCCATGTTTTGTGTATCGAAACGTAACTGATTATTCGTCTTTTCATGTATAAATAGAGACAAAGCACGAGTTTCATCGATCACCACCAAGTCACCAACCCATCTCTCTTTCAAGTTGTTAGTGTTTTCTCTTTGTTAGTTTTAGGTTTAAGGAAAAGTGTTTCTTTGTTACGTACGACTTACGAAACTATTAATTGGAAATAAGATAAAACACTAAAAACACTCTAGACTATATAATTGGGCCGTTACGAGAAGTCTCTCCGTTATTTCCGCTGCGTCAGAGAGAGATAATATATGTTTGAATTCAACGAATGCATTGTTCGTCGCGACTCGGGAGTTTTGAAAACAGAGACTACTTGTGAAAAAAGAAACTAATATTTCTTCTTTTTCAATTTGTCGTGTTCAGTAATTTTGTTGGTTCCTAAAATTAAAAAGTCCAAAAGATTAGCACGAGTCTTAGATCGCCATTTTTTTCTCTTAGCAAATGAAATCTGAAAATTCGATTAAATTAATTTCCTCTGTTCTTCCCCTCAAGCAGAATCTTTTACCGTAGATCCCAAAGCCTCCCAACACTTGATGTTGCGTTAGAACCTCGATGGATTTCCGATCTCTCTTTCTGTTCTTGATGGGTTTTTTTTATCTGTCAGAAAAATCTGATCTTTTGATTTATCTTTCCATTTCAAATATCAATCTCTCTGACTGGTCTTGCAGACGTTTCATTGCTTTGTCTCAATTGTAAATACCGAAGAACAGATCCTCCTCGCCTTTGAGTCAGCCACAATGGATATAAGCAACGAAGCAAACGTGGATCCGTTCTCAATAGGACCCACGACTATAATCGGAAGAACAATTGCCTTTCGGATCCTGTTCTACAAATCAATGTCTAAATTCAGACACAAACTGTTCAGATTCCTCGTGTGTTTCCTCGGAGGAGCTAGGGTTCTTCTATCACCGTTTGTGTCCTGGTTACATCCAAGGAATCCACAAGGGATCTTAGCTATGGTGACGACGATGGCCTTTCTGTTGAATCGCTACACAAGCTTAAAAGCAAAGGCTGAGATGGCTTACAGGAGGAAATTCTGGAGAAATATGATGAGAGCTGCATTGACTCATGAGGAATGGTCTCACGCCGCGAAGATGCTCGATAAAGAGACTCCCAAAATGAACGAGACAGATCTTTTCGATGTGGAGCTAGTGAGGAACAAGCTTGAGGAGCTTAGGCACAGACGTCACGAGGGGTCTCTAAAAGACATTATCTTCTTTATGAGAGCTGATCTTGTGAGAAATCTTGGTAACATGTGTAACCCTGAGCTTCACAAGGGAAGGCTTCAAGTGCCAAGACTCATCAAAGAGTATATCGATGAGGTATCTACCCAGCTTAGGATGGTTTGTGATACAGACACTGAGGAGCTTCCTCTGGAGGAGAAACTCTCTTTTATGCACGAGACGAGGCACGCTTTTGGAAGAACGGCTCTGCTTCTAAGTGGAGGAGCTTCTCTTGGTGCTTTCCATCTCGGTGTGGTTAAGACCCTTGTGGAACATAAGCTCTTGCCGAGGATTATAGCCGGTTCAAGCGTGGGGTCTGTGATGTGTGCGGTTGTGGGGACAAGAACATGGCCGGAGTTACAGAGTTTCTTTGAAGGCTCTTGGCACGCTTTGCAGTTCTTTGATCAGATGGGAGGGATTTTCACTACTGTGAAACGGGTAATGACTCAAGGTGCGGTCCATGAGATCCGACAGTTGCAATGGAAGTTGAGGAATCTCACCAACAATCTCACATTCCAAGAAGCTTATGACATGACAGGACGGATTCTAGGGATAACAGTTTGTTCCTCAAGGAGACACGAGCCTCCTAGATGTCTCAATTATCTGACTTCGCCTCATGTCGTGATATGGAGTGCAGTGACTGCATCTTGTGCTTTCCCAGGTCTCTTTGAGGCTCAAGAACTCATGGCCAAAGATAGAACCGGAGAGATTGTTCCTTATCACCCACCTTTCAATTTAGATCCTGAACAGAGCTTAAGAGCATCGGCTAGGCGATGGAGGGACGGTAGTTTGGAGATGGACTTACCAATGATACAACTCAAAGAGCTTTTTAATGTTAACCATTTCATTGTGAGTCAAGCCAACCCTCACATCGCACCTTTCTTGAGGATGAAGGAGTTTGTGAGAGCTTGTGGAGGCCGATTTGCAGCAAAGGTATATGGTTCACATTTTACTTGATCCACAAGTAATAAAACAAGCCCTTTAATTCATTGCGTAATAATCTCTTCATCTTTCAAAGCTCGCTCAACTTTTGGAGATGGAAGTAAAGCATAGATGTAATCAAGTACTAGAACTCGGGCTTCCTCTTAGAGAAGTAGCGAAGCTATTTGCTCAAGAATGGGAAGGCGACGTCACTATCGTCATGCCCGCTACTGTTTCTCAAGTAAGCAAAAGCCCATTGATCTTTGCAAAAACGTTATAAGAGCATCCCAATGGTAGTCTCTCACATGAGTTCTCATAATTAAAAAAATAGAGAAAATTAAAAAAGATGAGAGAATGAGAACATGGTATCTAAAGTCTCTCATTTGAGAACCTCTAAAAAAGATTTTGAGAGACTCTCATAAGATGTGTTACCATTTTATTGGTGTAATTTGTTTTTATAATTTAAAGTTTAACTAATTAATTAAATTACATAAAAATAATAGTATTATATTGGATGAGATACTCTTAAGAGTTTCTCACCATTGGAGGTGGTCTAATGGTTCCTTCTTGAACATGAGTGAGAAATCATTAATCTTTGGTGTTTCTTGCTCTTTAGTACTTGAAGATCATACAAAACCCATCAAATGTAGAGATTCAAAAGGCGGCAAACCAAGGAAGGAGATGCACTTGGGAGAAACTCGCAGTCATCAAAGCAAACTTCGGGATAGAACTCTCCCTCGACGAGTGCGTGGCCGTCCTCAACCACATGCGGCGCCTAAAACGCACCGCTCGAAGGGTCTCTGCCTTATCTCAACAACAACATCCGTTGACCGGAACCACCAGGTTCAACGCCTCCAGAAGAATCCCGTCCTGGAACTGCATCGCGCGTCAGAACTCATCTGGATCCGTGGACGATGATGTGCTCGCAGAAGCTTCGACCTTGTACCAGCAAATCGTGGTTGGGTCCGGGAGGAATAACAGAGCCAGCAATCAGCACGAAGTAGGAAGCGAAGGAGATTCCACGGAAGATTGGACGAGGTCTGGTGGACCATTGATGAGGACAACGTCTGCTCAAATGTTCACGGACTACGTTCAGAATCTTGATGCCGTTGATCCCAAACAGACAGCCACTAGAGGACTAAGTTGCAAATCGTTACAATGACTTTGCAATTTTGTAGAAGAAAATATCATTTTATCCATAACTCTTCGTAAGTATTAGATTTCACCCAAAGAAGGATTAATGACGTATTTAAGTTTCTTTCTCAAAAAAAAATTATTTATGCTATTTTGAAATATATATATATTTATTTCTTGATTAATCGCTGAAACGATAAAAGAGATACTGTAAGTAAATAATAAATGTAAATGGTAAGTTGCTAACCTTCTACATAACCATTCACAAGAGCAATATGTAAATTGCTATATCACAAATCTATTTGTGTATCGCTATTTTTTTTTTTAATCATTTTCTCTCCCTTTTCCTAATTATTTTGTTATTAGATTTGATTGGTGATATAAAACAGTAAACAATAACAAAATAGTTATAAAAGATAAGAATGGATGGTGAAAAAACATGGTAAACAAAAATAGTAAAAAGTAGTAATTAATACAAGCAGTATAGTGATATCGTTTTTAATTAGTACCACTTTGTATTGGTAATCATAGTAGCAGTATACTTTTTATCACAATTGTCAAGAGTTTATCAATCACACACACTCATTATTTTTCTTATTTTTGTCAAACACCTGTTAAATAAAGACCCCAAACAAAAATATCGATCACTATAGCAAAAAATACACATCTATGCAAATTGCAAGCATAAACATATCACACTGACTACAAAATTATAAACTCTGATCATCTGTCCTTTTATTTAGAATACACTCATGTTAAATCGAGCCTTGATGTCAATATTGTGTGTTGTGACATTAACACTTCCATAAAAATTGGTTTTTTTTCATTTTTTTCTTTGTTATTTTGTGCCTTCTTTTTCCTCAGATTTAACAGATTAGAAGCAAGTAAAAATATTATCGTGCACAAATTGGTCAAAAAATTTTGATCATTCATCTAATTTTAGTAAACTATATAATATAATAGTGTGATTTAATAGAATAGTGAGATTTAATTCCAAATATGGATAATACGATTTTTAAGCATTTTTGTCGATTTAATGCATTTTTATTTGATTATTTAGTGTAATGCCATGTTTTCTTACTCTCAGGAAAAGAAATGAACGAGTAAACCGACTTATAGAGTAAACAAACTTGAAAAAAGAAACAAAAGAAAAAGTAAGAGCCTATGATCAAAGAGAGTAAACGTCTTAAGCAAAAAAAAAACAAACTTACGCTGCATGAGCCTACGGAGGAGCCCCAAACGCATCATCTTCAATCCTTCAATGAAAAACTCTTAAAGTGAGAGAGAGAGAGGGAGAAAATGAGTTAGATAGAGAGAAACAGAAAGAGATTTAAAATTTTTTGCAGGACCCAAACTCAACACCTAACTATATATAACAGTTCGAACAAATTCTTGGCCTTCAAGATATTTAAAATTTACATTTGGAATTCGTAAACGCTCATACCAGATGCGTTATATACCATACGCACCTTATCTGTTGTTATCTTCTTCTTTTTTAATATATATATATGTTCCTGCAACAAAGCATGTTCTGTTTGTTGCCATTATTGATCTTTATGTAAAAAAACTCGTAATTATGGTTTTGGAAGGAGGAAGATTCACCAAAATGGAAGTATTATGGAATATCGAGAAAATACGCGTATATCACTTATTTGCATTTCATATTTAAATATGGCTCTCCTTCGCTACGTGCTGATTCATAATGCACAACAAGCAAAGCATATTTTGAAAATTTCTTTCACCACCAAAAAATATACTAGCTAGTTAGTAATCACTGTATTCATGCATCAATAGTATACTAACCGAAAGTATTGGTCTGCTTTACATATCCAGATATCAAAATACTGGTTCGTAACATCTAATGTATTTCCCAACTTGAATAAAAAGTAATAACCCAATACGTACTCATGACAACGTCTCAAACTTCAGATTCAAATTTACGACAAATCTATTCTTACATGAAATTAAAGATCCCAAACAAAACTATCGACCACCATGGTAAAAAGTACACATCTAAGCAAATTGCAAACATAAACATATCACACACTGACTACAAAATTATAAACTCTTATCATTTGTCCTCTTACTTAAAATATACATGTTAAATGGAATATTGTGGTGATGACATTAACACTTCCATAAAAATTGGTTATTTTCATTTTTTATTTGTTCTTTTGTGCCTTCTTTTTCCTAAAATTTAAAAGATTATAAGCAAGAAAAAATATAATCGTATACACATTGGTCAAAAACTTTTGATCATTCATCTAATTTCAGTAAACTATATAATATAATATATAAAAACATTGACTTTAAAATATAATCACGCAACTTCATAATCATAGAAAAAAATTTTCTTTTAGACGGAAAAAACACACAACAGTGGAAATTGTTAAACAAAAATTTGTTATGTGTTTTTTCCCCCTAAAAGAAATTTTCATTCTATAACTGTGATGTTGCATGATTGTATTTTAAAATCATTGTTTTGAACTATCTCTTTCTCTGTTTTGGTTTTTTATTTTTGTCGACTTATTGTGCGACGGCAGTTTGCAAGATATTAAACTTTGAGACTTATTGGATCAAAGTTGATAACTCTCTTTATTTTAATTTAATATGTGTCTTATTTTGGCCTAGTTTTAGAATTCTCTCTGTGTGTTTTATGTTTGAACTCTTTCTCTTTGGTTCGAAGCTGCAAAGAAAGCAAGTAAAGAGAGAGAAAAAGAAAGAGAGTTTAGAAAAAAAATTACAATCCTTTTCTAGAGAGTAGGATCCTTAAGGAGAAGGCAGAGAAATTGAAATCTCTAAACACTTTTCAAAAGGAGATGAAAATTGAGTTCATGGATCAGTCTACAAAGCTAAAGGTAATCTTTGTATATTACAAAATCATATAAAGATAGAAAGCACGTTGGGTTCGATGTTAATGTGATTTTACTAATTTGATCATGTGATTTTTTTATAATGCAAACAAAATAAGCTATCAATCTTTATGACAGTTGGATTTTGAAAATCAAGAGGATTCACTTGTGCCCTCCATTTTATTTTCTTTGGAATGGGTTAAGTCAATCTCTTTTTGAATATTTCTTTCTCTGTTTTAAAAACTAGGGTTTCATATTTTCTAATTATTTTGTTTTTGGATTTGATTGGGGATATAAAACAGTAAAAAATAACAAATAGTTTTAAAGGATAAGAATGGTTGGTGAAAAAAAGTGGTAAACAAAATTGGTAAAAAGTAGCAATAATACATGTAGTATAATGATATTATTTTTAATTGATACCAGTTTTGTATTGGTAATTCATATTAGCATTCTTTATCACAACTGTTAAGAGTTATCAATCACCTACACCATATAATCCTATAAGTGTGCAAAAATTAGTCATAAAATTTTGATGATTCATCTAATTTTACTAAATTATATAACATAATATATGAAAACATTGGTTTTCTAATACAATCACACAACATCACGATCATGGAGTGAGTTATGGAGCATCAAGATAAATTGAAGACCAACAATTTGTGAATCTTAAAGTAGCGCGGAAGATAACCACTCTATAGCTAATTGTCTAATCTCAGAAAAAATTGAGATTGTAAAGGTAAGTAAACTCATTTTCAATCACAAGAATAAACACAGATGGTAAACTAAGTGTTTTGTTGTTGTTGACTTCACAGGTAATCCAAAATAGAGATGGTGACTTCAGGTTTCACACACTGAGTACTTGTGATGATGCTGTGAAAGTTGGGAGATATATAGATGTGAAGAAGGAAGATGTGAAGAAGGAAGTTGAATTGGCTGATGATTACTCTTTCATTTTCCTTTTCATCGCATACAAGGCTTGGATTTTGAAAATCCAAAGGATCAATTTGTGGTTTCATCTTTCTCTCTTCATAGCCTCGTCTGATAATCACTAATTTCTAATAGGAAAAAAGATTTCACATCACCTTCATTTATTTTAATTTAGTTGTCACCAGCTTAAAGCTATTGTTAATGTCCTAGCAACTTTAATTGTTATACTACATCACAAGATCAAGCGAAAAGTTTTCAGTATAACACCTAATCCCTAAAATAAATTACCGATAAATCACCTTTTTCTTTAAATTTATTTAAAGACATTCTGCTTATATTCAATGCTTTTTCGTGATCAATATATAAATGTTGTAAATAAACAACTGAAACTACTCGCTTAGCTAATTTTTTTTTTTCATTTAGCTAACTTAATTAACACTGTACTTGTTTTATAAACTTTACTGTTCTTAAACAGTTATAATAACTAACGAATGGGTATATGATCAAGTAAACAATATGGACATGTCCTTCTTTGAATGTATTACTTGTTTCACACACGTCACACATGTTCATATTGATTCATAACTCATGCTATTATGTATCGTATTCTCATTTTATTCAATTATATTAGTAGTAGTTCCTTTTGTTTTTTAAGTTCATTATTTTACTTAACCACTTGTAAACGGTGTAAACCAAAAAAAAACCACTTGTATACAGAAAAGGTAAACTTAATGGAGATTATGAATATAAGTCATTAGAAATTTTAGCATTTTGCATATCATATTATTCGTCGTGGTTCTGTTTGTTATAGAAAAAACTATTTATCACCAGAATCAAATATTGTAGAACAGTGTATTTGTTTTTGTTAAAATATTTTAACATTGATTAAACCATTTAGTAAACAATATAAACTATGTATGGTAATTATCAATTTCAATCGAACTGATTGATGTCATCTCTTAGACCGTTTCAACCGCATCGCTTTCTTAGAAACGACTTAAATTAACCTCAGTTATATAGTCAAAATATTGCTGGCCAACTATATGTATCATAAGCAATGTAATTGTATCCCCTAGCATTGTTGTAGACATAATGCTTTCTAGGCTTAGGAAGGTAAAAGGTGTAATGGTTCGAACAAGATGTATTTGAGCTGCCTTGAATTTACATCAATTAACTCCAATTGTGTTTATTTGAAAAATCACGGCCCACATATACGCGTCGTTGTGTGTAAGTGTGTGTATGTATCTTAGGATCTACTATACTATCTATGTGTATGCAAGTGTTTGTATGTATTTTCTCCACTTAGATGACGGCTTTAAGGGCT